GGTGATTGATCTGGAAAGAAATGGGGGAATGGAGTGAATAAGACAAACAATTATATGAAATTTTGAAAATTACTAAGATTAAAAACTTTTAAAGTAGTAAAATTTAAAAATATCTAGACAGTCTCCTTTACAAATTTACAAGGTTTCTCATAATTTAATGATGATGAATATTGAAGAAATATCAATATTCAAATCACTCATGAAAAAAGCAAAAAGTTCACATAAGAATTTAATGTATGAGGGTCTTGTATAATGACTGTATTTAAGAGAATATACTGATCTTGCAGAGGATCAGGCTTCCTTTCCCAGAATGGATACCTGGAAGCTTATAATCTACCTGCTAGTCAAGATCCAGATGATTCTCTGCCTTTTTTCTGCCCTCTTCACCCTCTTCAGCACTGCACACACACACACACACACACACACACACACACACACACACACACGGAGCATACACATAATTTAAAACATTAAAAAAGATCAGGTGTTCTTTAGGTATTTACCTAATTGGAAACAAAATTCAATTGAATATTATATTATGTAATTATTTATATATGGGTTACTTGTTTATATGGCATTCTGTATGAATGGGGAAATTTAAAATTATATTTGAAATACCAAACCACACAACACGTGATAAAAATAAGAAACATTTTTAACTTAAAATGATATGAATGGATGAGTTCAAATCATATCTAAATTCAAATATGCTGCATGCGTGGACCACCCCTTTAATATCAGTACTCTGAAGGCAGAGGCAGGTGAGTGTTTGTGGGATTTAGGTCAGCCTGATCTATACAGTGAGCTCCAGAAAAACTGGGGCTACAGGGAGACACTGTATTAAATATATATAATTCAAAGAGCAACAGACGAGAAAAAAATGTCAGTATGAAAATATGGAAAAATATTTTTACATCAAGATCAAAATAATACAAGATCCAAAATTAAAACAAGATAAATATAATACACACGATGTCAATTGAGTAAAGAAAGTTACGTCTTTCTAAAAGAAGTTACTATATGCATAAAATGAATCTCTAAGACCAAGTAAAATACTTTTCCAGTAAATATTTAAATGTTAGTTTTCAAGTATAGAAAATATTATCAATTTTTGCAAATCTAAGAAATAATGATCTATTGGAAAGTTACGCATTGACTATGAAACATATAATTCAAAATCCAATGAATACATTTGCAGCTATATGAGAAGTAATTGGCATTTGGGAGAGGGTGAGTAGCTCTGTTTTAATATGCTTGCTGAGCAGACTGGAGGCTGCATGTTTGTTCTCCATGTGGCTAAAAACAATGGAAAAGAGGGTTAGGTATCAGCAATCAAATAAGTACTAAAACAAATAGAAATAAAATATCGTTGTTACTATCAAGGTTAAAAATCATTGCCTTAGGCTCTAAAGTGTTGAATTACCTCATTAGGTATGAGGTTTTTACAAATGCACTCATGTATTCATGATGGAAATAATCACAAGGATACTAAAGTTCATCCAAATGTGGTCACTTAAACTGAAAAAGTGATATAATGCAGCAAGACTTACTCTGTTATTTTGTAAAAAATTGAAACATTATCATTAAGGTTTTATACAGAGCAATTAAATAGAGATTTATATTATCAAATATTCAGATTTATAGCTGTATTTTGAGGCAACACACTTGAGAATTAAAACATTTTTATGCTGGAATTTTAAAATTATGAAATGGAAGGAATTTTGAATCTACTATATACAGCAAAAAATAGAGAATATTAATACAAATTCTAGGTTTTCTACTGAGCAATAATTAAAATTACTCCAGTAGAAACATATGAATTTACTATGCTAACATGCTTAATCTGGGGTTATTACTCAGTTAATAGTGTTTCTTGGGAAGGTGTGTGGGTCTGAGTTCAGATGTTTTTGTTCATAACACTGAGATGTTAGTGCATGAGTCTCTAATATGTATATACCTGATTATTACTAGTCATGGTCAGTTGCACTAGGATCCTTGGCACCTGTGTATGGAAGTTATCAGGTAAATTTCAAAGGTAACGTTTATTACATCTACTACTTAACATGATGTAAATTTTTTATGCTTCCTATTCAAATATAACTCTCTTTTAATTTATTCATCTTTTTGTGTGTATATCACACAGAACATTCCAAACAAAATTATTCATCTATATACCCACTTCCCAGATGGCACCCTCCCATAGCGCCCCCCCCACTAGAGCGCTTTTACTCTGTCTTCCCTGCTACTGTCTGCTGTGGTGTCAGCACCCCCAGACGTTCCCCAGTCCTTGTCCATCAAGTGAATCTAGTCCGCCTATCTAGAGGTCTTTGTTTTAGGAAGGTCAGCTG